GCCAGTAACCGAAAGGTCGCTGGTTCTAATCCCCGCGCCGACTAGGTTAAAAATCTGTCGATGTGCCCTTGAGCAAGGCACTTAACCCTAATTGCTCATGTAAGTTGCTCTGGATAAGAGCGTCTGCTAAATGACTAAAATGTAATGTAAATGTAAATAACTGCAACACTTAACAAAGAGTTGCAGTTAGTTTCGGAATGGGTGGCAAGGAATAAGTTAGTCCTGAATATTTCCAAAACTAAAAGCATTGTATTTGGGTCAAATCATTCACTAAACCCTAAACCTCTACTACATCTCGTAATGAATTATGTGGAAATTGAGCAAGTTGAGGTGACTAAACTGCTTGGAGTAACCCTGGATTGTAGACTCATGGTCAAAGCATATTGATACAACAGTAGCTAAGATGGGGAGAAGTATGTCCATAACTATCAACAAGGCAGGTCCTAGAGGCCCTAGTTTTGCCACACCTAGACTACTGTTCAGTAGTGTAGTCAGGTGCCACAAAGAGGGACTTGGGAAAATTGCAGTTGTCTCAGAACAGGGCAGCACGGCTGGCCCTTAAAAGTACACGGAGAGCTGACATTAATGACATGCATGTCAGTCTCTCCTGGCTCAGAGTGGAACAGAGATTTACTTAATCACTGCTTGTTTTTGTAAGAGGTGTCGACAAGCTGAATGTACCGAGCTGTCTGTTTGGAATACTGGCACACAGATCAGACACCCATGCATACCCCACAAGACATGCCACCAGAGGTCTCTTCACTGTCTCCAAGTCCAGAACAGACTATGGGAGGCGCACAGTACTACATAGAGCCATGACTACATGGAACTCTATTCCACATCAGGTAACTGATGCAAGCAGTAGAATCAGATTTTTTTTAAACAGGTAAAAATACACCTTATGGAACAGCGGGGACTGTGAAGCAACACATACATTGACACATGCATACAAACACACGATAACATACGCACTATACACACCTACACATGGATTTTGTTTTATATATATGTGGTAGTAGAGTAGAGGCCTGAGGGCATACACTTAATATGTTGTGAAATCTGTTATGAATGTATTGTAATGTTTTTAAAATGTATAATTGCCTCAATTTTGATGGACCCCAGGAAGAGTAGCTGCTGCTTTAGCAGCAGCTAATGGGGATCCATAATAAATACAAATACAAATCTAACGCGCGTTAGTCAACGCAACGGCGTTAGCTTACTAACGACCTAACGTTAGATTAATATCACTCCTTGATTAAATTCGAACTCACGCTTCTGTCCAGACGCTTTATCATTTTTGTTTACAACAAATGTGGTCATTGTCTCCTGTTTATAATGGTTCAGATGGTTTTCAAAAGCTTGCAGGCTAGTAAATACTATTCCTGGCTGAGGTAACTCTAGCTACGTCGGCGCGATTAGAGCAGACGGGACTATGATGCCACTTTTACAAATTCGGTATCCCTTCTAGCCATGACCGAATAAACGTAGCAGGTTAGGAAAGGAAAAGGGTTTTGACGTCAATTTGACAAACTGTATCCCATCTAACCATGACTCATTCCTTTGGACTCACAACAGTAGCTAGCTAACGTTAGTTGTATGCTGGCACAAAACTAAATAAGGAAGCAGAGGGAAATATATTTTGAGATATTTTACTTTGTAATGTTATAAAACAGGCCACAACAATACTTTATTTAACTGGTAAGTATTCAACTTACTCGTTTTACATTGCTATCAACTACTAGCAAATCTGTACTAGCTAGCTACTGTTAGCTAGCTAATCCTTGACTGTTCAAACCTTTCTCACCTAGCTACCTTTCATCTGTGTACTTGGCAAAGACCTAGCTAGCTAAGATAGCAGTTAGTTAGATATGGAAATTAACCAGCTAGTTAGTTGAATAGCTAGCTAGGTAACTACTAGCCTAGACTTGTTTCGCTAACTACATCATTAGCTAGCTAAATAGCCAAGTTAGCCAGCTTGTAGCTAACATTGTTTTTAAGCAGTAACGTTAGTAGTCGTGTTTTTAACTATTTGTTGGCATTTCAACAAGTTTAATAATTTATGCTTTTATTTTGCATCCCTACAGTTCATTTGTAAGCCTGACTATTGCTGTTCAGCATTGAAACATGGGAGCTGACAAGAGGTGAGAATTTCCCCCAACCTTTATGCCTGACTCAGGAGGAAAGATTGCCAGAAGATACCGACCCTACCGTTACGTTTGTTTATACTGAGCTGCACTGGGGTCGGAACGCAATCATGGTTACATTAAGGCACCATGGAGCCAGCGCAAGATACTGATTGGAAAACGTACCTCAATGCAGGGATGGGATATGCCACTGTACTCCAAATTTGACCTTTATCCACACTGCTCCATCGAGAAGACTAAAAAACTGCTAGTTTTAACCGTACAATTTGGACTGTGGCATATCCCGTCCTGCATTGAGGTACATTTTCCGACCCATATCTCACGCCGGCTCCATGGTTTCTTAATGTAATTATAGAGCACAGTTACATGCACACAATAATGCGATTATTGTGGATAGTCAGGTTGATACACTGAAATAAAATATAACCGCAACATGTAAAGTGTTGGTCCCACGTTTCATAAGCTGAAATAAAAGATCCCATTTCACCTTTGCCAAGATAATCCATCCACCGGACAGGTGTGGCATATCAAGGAACTGATTAAACAGCATTATCATTACACAGGTGCGCCTTGTGCTGGGGACAATAAAAGGCCACTCTAAAATATGCAGTTTTGTCACACAACGCCACAGATATCTCAAGTTTTGAGGGAGCGTGCAATATGCATGTTGACTGCAGGAATGTCCACCAAAGCTGTTGCCAGAGAATTGAATATTAATTTCTCAACCATAAGCCACCTCCAACATCGTTTTAGAGATTTTGGCAGTATGTCCAACCGGCCTCACTCGCAGACCACGTGTATGGCGTAGTGTGGGCAAGCTGTTTGCTGATGTCAACGTTGTTAAGAGTGTCCCGTGGTGGTGGAGTTATGGTATGGGCAGGCATAAACTACGGACAACGAACACAATTGCATTTTATCAATGGCAATTTGAATGCACAGAAATACTGTGACAAGATCCTGAGGCCCTTTTTTTAAAGGTATCTTTGAACATTAGATGCATATCTGTATTCAGTCATTTGAATTCCATAGATTAGGACCTAATGCATTTATTTTAATTGACTGATTTCCTCAGATGAACTGTAACTCAGTAATATCTTTGGAATTGTTGCATGTTGCGTTTTATATTTTTGTTCAGTATATAATTCGTCGTTTAAAACGTTTACATGCTTTGCAAGAAGAACGATTTCCCTAATAATCCTGTTTTACATGGACAGATCTGAAATCACGCTACTGATGGGACTTTTGATAAATGCAGAAAATTGGCAATCAAAATAAACGTTCTACCACAGTGACCATGTTATTTTTGAGAAGACTATTTGATTCTGAGTTCAGACATATAACTATTTATAAGATGCATATTTCACTCGCGCATAAGAGGGAGGCTTGCGCTACCCGGTGCTGGCACATGCTCAGTTCAAATACACCGCTGGAACGCCAATTAAGCAGTTTACATTTCCTGATGATTTGAAAGATTGCTCAGAAAACCAGGTGTTTTAATCGGCGTATGCTTACTTCGATTATGATCATACGCCGATTTAAGATAAGCAGAATAAGGTGTTTACATGACTAATGCCATACTCTGTAGTGTGTATTTAAACGTTCTCTATGATTGTGTTCCGACCCAGTGCAGCTCAGTGTAAACAAGTGTAACGGTAGGGTCGGTATGCTCTGGCAAGAGTAAAGAGTGTAGGAAAAGATAAAGTTGATGTGTGGTAACTACCCCCTGAATGTCTGGATGCAATGCACTCTTCTGACATATATCGCACTGCTTTGCTTTATCTTGGCCAGGTCGCAGTTGTAAATGAGAACTTGTTCTCAACTGGCTTACCTGGTTAAATAAAGGTGAAATAAAAATAAAATGGGATTTTCTAGGAATGCATTACCCCATTCATAGATGCTAAGTACCTTTAGTGCCTACTGACAATAGTGTCTTCTGTCCAGGCACGCTTTGTTAAAGGTACAATATGCAGAAATGGCTCTGCCATTTCCTGGTTGCTAAAGTTCTAGTAGTAAGCCTAATTTCAGTTTGTGACAAAATAAGCAATGTATAATAATTGTACAATCTAAACCGCTGTGAAATATGTTTTCAATAACCAAAAATATTGTATTTTCAGCTGCTGTACAAAAGCGAAAGTAAAAGATGCAAATACGAAACATAAGAACGGGAAGCATAGAAATAGCGCACATAGAACATATCTACTGCTTCTTAGACCTGCTTTCAATGAGAATGACAGATCTATAACTCATTGTGAATTTGGTCGGGTCGCCCAAAAAGTTACATATTGCAGCTTTAAGAGCCCCGACGCTTGTTCTGTACGTTAGAACGCATCGCTTGCGGTACGTATCTTTCATATCAGCTAGAAATCAAAGGTTAAATTGCCACACACCTTTTTATAGGGTTAGGGTTCCCACACGGCCATATTTCCATGTTACAGGGCTTGTAAACAGATGGAAGACAGAGGTGTACCTGTGCTAATTAGCTATCTGCGTCTACGAACACCTGTGTTGTCACTGAAAAATACTGTCTGCAACTGTGTTAAAACAGTGAACAGTAAGTGTATATTTAGCAATTGTCAAATTATTTTGATACACTATGAAAGTACAGGGCTTTATGTTTCTAGAACTGTACCGCAATTGAGAGTCGATTCATGTTTAGTTGGAGTATTTGGCTGTTTTGGCTTCCAGAGCCAATTCACCTCTAAACAGAACATGTAAGGTCCTTACTATACGGAGTAACGTTTGGTTCCTTTAGTCCATTATTGAGCTAGGAATGCATTAGCTGAATATGTCATGTGAATAATGTTACATTGTGTGTTTATGTTCTGAGGTTTGGCCGCAGTGAGCGTAGTGGGAGGTATGGGTCAGACCGATGGCGAGATGATCCAGAGTGGCGTGAAAGACGGGACAGAGAGCCAGATAGGGATTATGACCAGCGCTGGAGTGACGAGAGACACACTGACCGATTTGATGAGCGCAGAGACAGAGACGATCCTGAGGTGAGACTCAAGGAATCAAGTTACAGTCATGGGGATCTCATTGACCTTGGGCATGCATTCATCAAAAACATGTTCTGTAGTGGGCTGTTTGCTATGAAGAGCTGTTGTTCTCTGATGTAGTGTTGCTTGCCCTCTTCAGTTGACAACTGTGTTCTTCTTGCAGAGAAGGCGAAAGCGCCACAACAGTGACAGATCTGAAGATGGCTATCAGTCTGATGGCGATGATCAAGAGCAGGATTATAAAATGGAGCTGGGGCAGGAGGAGAGCAAGACCATCATGCTCCGGGGCCTGTCCCTCTACGTCACAGTGGAAGATGTAGGTCCTCTTTATTCCTAACCACACGTTGATATAACTACTAATAATACATGCTTCACAGAGCTGCCATATGCAGTATTGATGTGTATAATAGGAAACATACATTGTGGACTGTGACCTCTCTTGAATATAGTGAACCGTGGCCCACTGAATGTCCCCCTCCTGTGTTTCAGATCCGGGCTGCTCTTGAGCAGCTGCAGGGACCCCAGCCTGTGGACATCCGGCTGATGAAGAAGAGGACAGGTGAGAGTTGTTGTCTGGAGCCTCAGGTTGATTCAGCTCCACACACACTACCACCCCACACACGCCACCTTGCCTCCAATATCAATAATATTTGCCATAGCAAAGGAACCTTCACCACACCTACACCAGTGGGTCTTTTGTTTTGTCGATTGTTTTTATTTGTGGATGAGATTGAGACCCAAGGGGTATCCTACGAAGCAAGCTAGATCTACTCAGGGTTTTTATAAAGCTGACCAGCTTCAGTTTGCTTCACATTCTAGCTCAGGCTTCGTCCGTACTACGACAGTGGATATTGCTTGTCCGCCTGACGCTAACTCTAGCAGGCTTGTAACCGTGCGTGCATGTCGCACATGGCAACAAACTCTTCATTGAGACAATGCTGAAACATCAATCCATGGGTGAGTCAGTGCCACATTTTCATTTGTGCCGAAATCAAAATGAAAGAAATGTTATCTTGCAAATTCAGCATGCTATGGTGTGAAATATACTTTTAGAAGTGCCATCTTTATTTTATTACTTATCGTTAATGCTGTCTTTGGTGTGCTTATCGATGCACAAGCACTTTTCTCCCCCACTCATATTGATTTTTTTATTTTCTTAAGTCATACAAATGTGTTACATTGCGTGAAGTTTAAAATGCATTCTGCCATTACTAAATGTGTAATGTGATATTTTAACACAAAAAACATTTGATTAATAAAATATTTAATCAGTCGTCTTCCTCATGAAGGGGATGATGAAGCAATCTTTGCAAGAGGGAAGGAATCTGATTTCACTAGTCCTCAACTCTCGGCTTAGTCATTTCATTCAGGGTAAGTGGAGTTAGCCCTGAGTTAGCCTGCCCCCGGAGCAGGTTAGTTCTGAAGGATTCGTTGCCATAGAAATTTACCTGGCTAAAAGGTGAGCCACTTTCGTATGACTGGTTATCCTGAGTTACCTCGCTATTTCCTCAAATGTGCTTTGTAGGATACCCCTCTGGTAAGTAGTTGTACTTGTCCCTGTTTGTTAAAACATTTCACATTTTATCGTATCATCTGCGTGGCAATCATTCAAGTGCAGTCCAAGCACTGCCATCTGAAGGCTTTCATGCTATGGCAAAGGTTACCCCTCCCCTACCCTCTTCAAAATACATCTCCCACTGTTTCACTTGTAATGGGTTGTGAAGCAGACTGTGACAGAGTTTGAATGTTGTGCCAAAGCACTCTGACTAACACAACTCCCGTCTATATTTGAATGCTGTCTCTAGGTATAAGCCGAGGTTTCGCCTTCGTGGAGTTTTATCACTTGCAAGATGCTACCCGATGGATGGAGACCAATCAGGTTGCTTCAACAATCGCCAAGTCTAGATTTTGTCTTGGAGATCAGAGCCCAAAATAACAAACAGATATCTTGAGAGACTGACCTTTGAGAAATTTGCTGTATAAATGACCATTTGCTGAGAGCTGAGGGTCCTACATAGACAAAGGACTGCACCAACGCTTTTGTTATATGAATCTGATTTCTTTCTTTAAGTTGCCTTTATAATTTGATGAACTAGATGGCTTATTCTGACAGAAATTCTAGTTTAAACAGGTTAGACAGCAAAAACAAGTCTGTACAATAATTCCTGTACTGTAAAAATGTGCAAGATTAGCATTGGACCCTCTGAAGCTCACCATACAAAGTGTCAACTTATACATTTTTAACTTTTGGAATGAAAACTGGATTTAAGCACCTAAGAAATCAAAAGAGGAGGTAGCTCATTTTTGTTTGTGATGTTGTTTAGCTAAATAAGTGTATATTTTAAGAAAATAAGGATTTTACTTTGAGAGTTTAGGCGCTCTTTGGTTCTGGGTGTCTCACATAGCCATGTTTTGATATGGCTGCCCCCAGGGCATGTTTCCATATAGCACACTTTGCTCCAGCTCAGTCTCTTGGCCCATTACACATCCTCCACCTTTCAAACCGAAGACGAGGGAATGGGCCAAGGACGGGCTGGTAGCACTCCGGTCCGACACACTGCTAGAATCCTTCCCAGCACATGCACTTCTCTCTCTCTCTCTCTCTCTCTCTCTCTCTCTCTCTCTCTCTCTCTCTCTCTCTCTCTCTCTCTGTCTGTCTCTGTCTCTCTGTGTCTCTCTCTGTCTCTCTGTCTCTCTCTCTGTGTCTGATCTACTCACCCCTGTATTCTCTGAGGGGTTGTACCTAAGCGAGTGTGACCCTAGCAACTCTTTCCCTTCATGGGGTGTGATAGTATGAGGATCTCACCTGGCTGTGTGGCTTGGAGTTGGGGAAGCAAACATAACTGGTGGCCTTTGATCTTACAGAATACGCTGATGATCCAAGGAAAGTGTGTGGTTATGCACTACAGCAACCGAAGACACACATTTGAAAACTGGCTCTGCAATGCTGTGAGTATCCCCTCTTCTCCACCTCCATGTGTTCTACTCCACAGACCAAATCCCTTCTCTGTTTTGTGTTGTTAAATGGTTTCACTCATAGTTTCCATCAATGTTTCCAGATACACTATTTTGTCGTTAAAGTTTAATTCAACTGAGTGAAAACAATGTAACCGGTTGCTTGCAGTGCGGCCTGTACAATTTCCGGAAGAGGCTGAAGTGCTTCAGATGTGGAGCAGTCAAAGTTGGTAAGTAGCCCTGTGTTTATACTTGCATTCCCAATGTGGATGGCCCAGCAAAAGAGACCAGTGATTATCAAGTATCACATTCCAGGCCCTTGATGTGAAAGTCCAGTGATTTCATAGTTGTTGGGAGGGCCTTGATAGAACTACTTTGCTGTTGTGTTTTAAACAGAGGGGTCAGAATCTGCTGGCCCCAGTGACTGGAACTTAGAGCCTAAGCAAGCTGGAGACTACTGTGGTGACAGTGAGTACCATCTTTTAACCATTCTGTGTGCCTTTGTGTGTGGCTATTGATACGTTGGATAGGAAGAGTAGGATCATTCTCTTGTTATTTTCTTGACAGCGATCATCTTGAGAAACATCGCCCCCCTCTCCAGCGTCGAGGCCATCATGACGACCCTGGCTCCCTACGCCATCCTGTCTTCGGGCAACATCCGTCTGATCAAGGACAAACAGACAGGACAGAACAGAGGCTTCGCCTTCGTACAGCTCTCCTCTCCACTGGTATGTGTGTTGTCATCAGAATAATGCACATTGTCATTGTAATATGATTGGCTAAGTTAGGTCTCATGTTGACAGTATGTCTGCAATCCTTATCTTTATTCTTATTCATGTGTAGGAGGCTTCCCAGCTCCTGACGATCCTCCAGGGCCTGCAGCCCCCTCTGAAGCTGGATGGGAAGACTATCGGGGTGGATTATGCAAAGAGTGCCAGGAAGTGAGTCATTACTCTGTCTCCCTTTACTAAACAATACAACACATGCTCACTCCATACACAGCTATAGGGAAGCACCATAGTAATAAGAAGATTAAACATGCATCCTCCCACACCAGAATCCAGATCTCATCTCTTTGTGTTCCCCCGACAGAGACCTGCTGATGCCAGATGGGAACAGAGTCAGTGCCTTCTCCGTTGCCAGCACAGCCATCGCTGCTGCTCAGTGGTCCTCCAGCCAGGTATCACTATGACTACTCCCTCACCTTATCTCAACCATGTAGTTGTGGTCCCACCACTCTCTATGTTTTCATGCATTGGTCTCTTTCCGTTTTTCAGCCGCAGCAGGGCCTGGGTGCTGCCACAGACTATGGTTCCCTGCAGGAGGGCTATGCACAGTACACACAGGTCAGTACTCTCTGGAGGCCAATTCAACTCATAGGTCCACACCAAGTGGGGGATGCTCTTTAAACCTGAAGCTATGCATCAAGGCCAGATAGTCATTCAATGTAACTAAAGATAGTTGAGGGCCTCCTGAGTGGCGCAGCGGTCTAAGGCACTACATCGCAGTGTTGCGGCATCACTACTGCCTGGGGTTCGATCCCAGGCTGTGTCACAACCGGCCGTGACAGGGAGTCCCATAGGGTGGCGCACAATTGGCCCAGCATCGTCCGGGTTAGGGGAGGGTTTGGCTGGGGGGGGCTTTACTTGGCTCATCGCGCTCTAGCGACTCCTTGTGGTGGGACGGGCGCCTGCAAGCTGACGGTCGTCAGTTGAACTGTGTTTCCTCCGACACATTGGTGTAGCTGGCTTCCGGGTTAAGCGAGCGGGTGTTAAGAAGCGGGTCATGTTTCGGAGGATGCATGACTCGACCTTCGCCTCTCCCGAGCCCGTTGGGGAGTTGCAGCGATGAGACAAGATCGCAATTGGATATCACAGATATTTAAATTTGTTTTATAATATTTGTCTTTCAGTATGGGCAGGATTGTCAGTCGTGGCCTCAGCAGCCTGCTGTGTTGGATCCTGCTCCTGGAGATGGAATATTAGGAGGTGAGAATCCAATTAGACCGATGTCTACTTCACAGTCCATCTTAACACTACAACTTGTGACTGACTGATTTATATTATGGCTTTAATCATGGTTTGCATTTTTAATGGCAGCTGCACCAGGAGTGAAGGCCCTGGTCCCTACAGCAGCAGGTGTGGTTGTGTCCCAGACCACACAGGTCTACCAGCATCACCTCCTCAGCCAGCCTATCATGCAGGTATCGCTTAAGGGCTCACATCAACATTCATGCTGCTTGTTATAAACATGCTGCTCAATCTTATGATGTACATGTAATACTGTGTGTGGTCAATACGAATGAGTGCAGCAGTTGAACATGTGGTGCTGTTTTCCCACCCACAGGCGCACCAAATAGTTGGGCAGATTGATGTGGCACCACAGGCTACCAGTTCCAGAGTTGCCACCTCTTCACTGAGAACAACAGCAGCTGCTTTGGCAGCCCCCACTGGAGCTGCCCCTTTCTCTGATGGCACATCTGGTAAGATGGGACACCATATTGGATTTCCAATCCTTATTTAGTTTGAACGTCATTGCCATACATTGAATACCTAAAGGTCTTTCTATACACTGTTTCTGCTGTTGCTTTTAACCAGTTGTTCCTGACACCTCCGCTTACCAATATGATGAGTCATCTGGGTACTACTACGATCCACAGACTGGTCTATACTACGACCCTAACAGCCAGGTATGTATAGTGCCTTCAGAAAGTATTAAAATCCCTTGACTTATTCCACATTTTGTTGTGTTACAGCCTGAATTCAAAATGGCTTTTTAAAAAAATAATACAAATTCTCAACCATTGACAAACAATACCCCATAATGACAAAGTGAAAACATGTTTAAAAAGGTTAGCAAATTTATTGAAAATTAAATTCAGAAACTATTCAAACCCCTGAGGCAATACATGTTATGATCACGTTTTGCAGCCATTACAGCTGTGATTCTTTCTGGGTGAGTCTCTAAGAGCTTTGCACACCTGGATTGTACAATATTTGCACATTATTATTAAAACAAATATTCAAGCTTTGTCAAGTTGGTTGTTGATCATTGCTATCACAGCCATTTCAAGTCTTGCCATAGATTTTCAAGCCGATTTAAGTCAAAACTGTAGCTAGGCCACTCGGGAACATTCAATGTTGTCTTGGTAAGCAACTGTGTAGACCAGTGACACAGAATCCCAATTTCATCCATTTAAGATTCAGGCTGTAACACAACAAAATGTGGAAAAAGTCAAGGGGTGTGAATACTTTCTGAAGACACTGTAACTACTGTCTCACCCCTATAGACTTCTGCTCTATCAGGGAGTTGATCATGAATAATGTGTCATTATTATTATACATGATGTATTTATCTCCCTGTAGTACTACTACAACTCCCAGACCCAGCAGTACCTGTACTGGGACAGTGAGACACAGACCTACATCCCTGCAGCAGCAGCAGCAGCAGTAGAAACAACAACAGCAGCAGACGCCAGCGCCGAACAGGCTTCCACCTCCTCAGCAGCCTCGTCCAGCAAAGAGTCCAAGGAGAAGAAGGACAAGCCCAAAAGCAAGTCTGCCCAGCAGGTAACAGACAGACAGGCACCTCCTACAAGCATGGGAAATTCCCATACTGAAGCACTAGTGCATATAGTGAGCTATGTTAGGAACACTGTTCTCTCCCATTTCAGATAGCTAAAGACATGGAGCGATGGGCCAAGAGCCTAAACAAGCAGAAGGAGAACTTCAAGAGCAGCTTGCAGGGCCTTGGGCAGGGCAGGGATGAGGACCGGAGAGAGGCTGCCGCTGCCGACGCAGGCTTCTCTACCCTCTTTGAGAAAAAGGTACTCATGATTATAACCCTCTGTTGAGTCAATATACTGTAGATGGCTCTTATGTCATGGCACAGCAGTGGTACTGGGATACCTGTCTCAATTAAAGGATGATGAACTGTTTGGTGTCATGTCAATGGGTGGTAGGTAGCCTAGCGGTTAGAGCGCTAGGCCAGTAACCCGAAAGGTTGCTGGTTCGAATCCCTGAGCCGACAAGATGAACAATCTATCTGTGCCCTTGATCAAGGCACTTAACCCTAATTTCTCCTGTAAGTCACTCTGAAAAAGAGTGTCTGCTACATGACTAAAATGTAAATGCAAATGTCTGATTTAGTGTTTTGCTCCTCCAGCATGGTGCAGGGTTTGAGACCCAGCCGCTGGTGATGAATGAGCTGGTGAAGAATGGAGAACCGGAAACCCCAATAGTCAAGGTAAGGATGTAGCTGAGATGGCACTGTGAAACACTACTGGTAGACTACAGAGAAAGACAATAGCAGGTTGGATTAGGACTGGTTTTAGGCCATCTAGTGGTGAGATGTGGTGTCACTTTGTCTCTATCCCTATTGGAAAGCCCAGTCCTCACTTCTCCAGTGGCTTGTGTGGCATGGTTCTCACTTCATAGTAAAAGGTTTGTGTGTTTGTTGCAGAGTGGCCTGGTGGCAGCCTACAGTGGGGACAGTGACCCAGAGGAGGCAGCAGACCTAGAGAGCGGAGGTGGGGGGGGTGATGAGGGGTCAGACAAGCTGACAGACTGGAAGAAGATGGCCTGCTTGCTCTGTCTCAGGCAGTTCCCCGGCAAAGACGCCCTGCTGCGCCACCAGCAGCTCTCAGACCTGCACAAGGTAGGATGGCAAGCAGCAGAATGGCACTTTAATCTCTGAGTCTCGGTGGAAGGAAATATTTTGGGTTATTTTTGGCTCTGCCGTCTGCTGAGGGTGTGCAGTTGTCCTTTTAGCATAAGCAAGGTGAGAACGCACATTCTTTTGAACTGTCATGCCAAGACTAATCGTGCCATTTTAAATGTGTGAATTGCATAGTTCCCGGGGAGTATTAACTTTTTTTTATTTTTTATAAATGTAATCGTCTTAGCAAAACTTGGAAATTCACAGAAGATCCAAACTATCTGAGGCCCAGCTGGAAGAGTTGGAGAGAAAAGAGATGGAGGTAGGCTATACTCTTTGAAGATTTCTACCATTCACAGGAAGAATTTTAGAAAGCCGAGATCTTCAATGTCACCGACGATTCTGATTTGTGTCATGTTGATATTGTTCTGTGTAGCTGAAGTACAGAGACAGAGCTGCTGAAAGAAGGGATAAGTATGGTGTTCCCGAACCACCAGCACCCAAGAAGAAGAAATTCTATCAGCCTCCTGCCCCCACAGTGTAAGGGCTTCAACCAATCCTATCTCAAAAGCAGGGGGTCTCAGGTTACGGGAATATATGTTATTGTCCAACTACATCCTTGATCAATTAAAGTAACCAGAAATAAATGAATTACATTTCATTAATAGCGTTTGATTTAATTCACCTCTCTTATCAACAACCTGACACAGGAACTACGAGCAGCCCACCAAAGATGGTCTGACCAGTGACAACATTGGGAACAAGATGCTGCAGGCCATGGGCTGGCAGGAGGGCAAGGGCCTGGGCCGCAACCAGCAGGGCATCACTGCACCCATCTCTGTGAGTTATGCAGCCAAAACGAGAAACTAGAGGCCTTTTTCACCTGCAAAGGGTTAGTGCAGAGTGCTTAACATGACCTGTAGTTCCATGTCCCTGGGCTATTTCCTGACAGATGGGGTTGGTACGTGGTGGTGTTGAGTTTGTATGTGTGGCCAATTAGCAGGTGTACCTAAGGGGTACCTGAGCCCAATCTGTCTGTTTTGATAAGTGTCTTCTTGCCCTCTCCCCACAGGCCTCATTACGAACCAAGGGCACAGGCCTGGGCATCAAGGGAAGCAACTACGAACTCTCCGCATCAGACACCTACAAGGACGCTGTGCGCAAAGCCATGTTTGCACGCTTCACTGAGATAGAGTGAACAGAGACTACAGCCATCCACTCCATCCTCAACCCCCGTTACCTGCCCATTATCCCCACCACTGTGAAAATGACAAGAACAAGAGGAACAATTTGTTATTTATGATTTTACTTTGTTCTTCCCCTCTGTGGCCTTGTACAACAGCTATAAATAATGAAGATATTGGGCATTTCACAGGCCAAGCTAGTTCTTCTAATTCATGTTTTTCCATTGTGTAAAAAAAGCTTTCTTTATTGCCTTTTTCTTCCATATAAAATCCTGTCAATAGCATTCTGTACAGTTTGTAATTTTGTATGGAATACAGATGTGGCTGTGCTGAGCTCCTCTGTGGTTGTTTTTCTGAGAGAGATCAGAATTAAACTTGACTTTTGTGCTCACGGGCCTCCATCTGCTTTTTTAAATGTTAGAACACTTTGTTCTTTACATGTACGAGGAGTCACAGAATCAGATCATATGCTTCAAGGTACGGTATTGTTGCCATAGTCTCAATCCTTTGCATATGTGCTGAGAGTTTTAAATTGTTCCCTCAGTGTAGCGACGGAGGCACTATGATTTAATAAGGACGTTTTAGTTTTAAGCAGTACTGTGATGAGGGCTGCCCCTCCACACCCTGTCTGACTTACTGCTCCTCCTGGGACAGTTCACTGGATCCTTGAACCCCAACGTTACCCTTCACTACTACTTCTCACCTCGCCTGGCTTGAGTGTATCCACCAGAACAGGTATGATTCCACCATCAGCTCCATTGGGTTTTTACAAATTGTGTGTTATGGTAATGTTTTGACTAAAGGTAAACTCTTGCAAGGAATGCTTGATATTACTGTGACCTGTTTAGAGTTAGAAGTAGCTGATTTTGTGGTTTTGGGCTACTAGATATGGAGGTTCCATTGAACAGAGGTGTGGAATGCACACGATTAGGACGTTTATGGAGAGTAGTGGAAGGGCAACGCTGGTCCTTAAGCATACAATCAAGCCCTTTTCCCAACAGGCTCCTGATGTCAGAGGAGACAGATGTTCTATATATACTGTATGTATGTATGTGATATCACCTGGCTTCCTCTTGACAGATTAGCAGTATTCTATCCAAATTAAATTGATCAATGTCTCAGACATGTATTTGTGTTATGCACCAGGTTGATAATGGATTTAACCATCACAGTGTGACAGATCAGTGTAATAAAGTTATCTCATTAGGTGAATAGGTGGCAGGAATGTGTGGTGAATCCAATAGAGCCTCCTGTCCTGTCAACTTAAGCCAAGTCATGAGACCTGAATGACAACTAACTTGGTTAAGAAGACAAGGCCTGTGGCGTGATTGTTGTCTGTTTTGCATCAAACCCTCCCTTGATTTGGTCTTTGAGTTGGTGATATAATGGAGTTTCGGAGGACTTATGGTTTACTTTATTCACAGGTTGTCCTGTTATTACTTTGATCCATATGGGTTTGAGCTGGACGCAATGCTGGAAAGAGGAGTTCAAGGAGGAGCTTTCCCTGACCAAACTCCACCTTTCGCTCTCTAGACCGGAGCTCCTGCTGCAGCCACAGGTATTTATGGATAGACAGACAGATGTCAGTCATGCTGATCTACTGAGACTCATTTTCACTGACACGGCACCACCACGCTCCTCTTTGGGTAGGCTTGGGGACTCTGAGCTTGTCCAAGGACAACATGTGTAGTCTTCGTATTTCAAATTAGACTACTGACTCTGTCCTCTCGTCCCTCTCTCCCAAAGTGGGGTATAGCACCTTGGGTCTGGTCGCTATACAGGGTCTTCATGTTGCTCTACACCCTGATTTGGTGTATGTACTCTGGCCTGCTGTTCTCCAATCCCAAGTGGCTCATCTTCTTCAGCCACCTGACCTACTGCCTGATCGTGGTCTACCACCTGGTGGCTTCCTGTAACCTGGCCTGTGCCATGGTCCTAGTCAGGTGCCACTGCAGGGACCACAGAAAAACCTGCTCTGGAGGTAGGATGCTCACAGACAGAAATGTGATGATACTAAGATGGCTGCCAATGCTGCTTTTTGTTTTAAGTTAAAGTTGAATTTCCTGATTGAATTGGTTTTTATCGAAACCAATGAACTGACATATTTGCTCTTCATTCTTAGGGGACCAAACTAGAGAGCGTGGAAACAGAGCAGAGCCCTTGGGTCCTTTCCCCCTCCCCTCTCTCCTCTCCATCTCCCTGAGACTGCAGTGGTTCCTCCAGAGCCTGATGTGTGCCTTCTGCCTCACTGTGTCCTTCCTCTACTGGAGCCTCGACTACCCCATGGAGCACCACCCTCTGTCCCCATTCAACCTCAACATGCACGTGGTAAATTCTGGCCAGGCCCTGCTGGACCTCCTCCTATCAGCCACGCCCATCCACCTGGCCCACTACCTCTACCAGCTCCTCATTGGCTGCCTCTACATCCTGTTTGCTGTGGTCTACTGGCTGGCTGGCTACACCAACCTCAGTGGGAAGCCCTACATCTACAAGGTACTGGACTTTGGAGGGTGCCCCTTGTTGGCCGCTCTGTGTGTGCTTGGCTTTGCTCTGGTCTGCCTGCCCATCTGTCACTTCCTGGTGTGGAATGTGCAACTGCTGAGGAGGCAGCTGGCGGGCAGGGTAAGGGGAGAGAGGCTGGGGCTGTGCAGAGAGACTTGGTGGTGGAGGGTGGGGGGAGGGGGCAGTCCGGTGCCGGTCTCCCTCATGGACCCGTCCTCCTCAGTGTTCACCCCCAGGAGGAGGGGAGAGGCCCGGGGTGATGGGGCCACTCAGACCCTGCTCTCATCCACCACCAGTACTCTCTACAGTGCTGTCACTGTCTACCTCTGAGGTCCTGTCTGAACTAACATAGAGCTTGATACCATGTTGTTTTACATGTTCTGCATAATGTCATCCATCCGTGTTGTCTGGTCCATGTCAGGCCAAACAATACAATGCTTAACAGATCTTATCTTCCATTCGTAGTGTGTGGTGTTATAGTTTCCTGATCCAAGAGGTAACATCATAGTGGCCAAACTATGTTAATCTTTGTATCACCAGGTGGCAGTATCAGTATTAGTTGCTTGCATCACTGTGTTCAGCCTTAGTCAATGGTCAGTGTGGTCATTTCACATAGTAGGATCAATAAATTAGCCAGCTTACATGATTAACACTGAGATTCTAGAGTAGGCTTAAGTTGGGAGTAAGTAAGTCAGTATTAACATGCCGGTTTTAGGGTTGTTGTTTTTCTGAATATTGTACAAGTCTGTTGAATTGCATATTTTATTAAAACTTCAAACTGTGGATGGACCCTACTTGCAGAATACACAGACCACTGTTGACCTGTCCATCCTCACACAAAGCAAATAACACATCCAATAAGAGCAATGATGAAACTAGATGGTAATTTTACATTAAGACATTTGTGGTACTTGCTTTACCTGTTTAAAATAATTGTTGTGGTAGTTGAAGAAGAAAAAAAGGTTTACTTAAAACAAAGCAGTTAAATATAGTGAAAGTTAAATGTACAGTAGTAAAATAATTGGTCTGATTACTTTGATATACTACTATATTAACCTTATTACTTTGGATTGTGGGGCAGTTAGATCACACATTTCATCTTAAATAACTACACTCGGACTACTACACTTTTATACACTCCTACTAGAATACCACAGTATATGACAACTGTAATAATAGAGCACAGAAGATAATGAGGCATTGTTGAAGTTTTAAATAAATAAAATACTTTATTTTTTACAACGTATTTGGATGACAGCGGGATGTTCATGAAGTCCTCTCTGGGTTGGACTGGGATCAGTGGGAAGAGGGCCGGAAAGGGGGAACTCAAGGGGCACATCAACAGATTTTTCACCTAGTCGGCTCAGAGATTCGAATCGGCCACCTTTCAGTTAGTGGCCCAACGCTCTTAACCGCTAGGCTACCTGCCGCCTAACAAAAGTTTGTGATAGTGTTGTTAGACAAAGCAAGGAAAGTGAACTTCAAAACGTGATGTAGTTTTATTGGAATCTGCTGCTGTTGTTGGTAAGTAATGAATCTGCTAGCTTCTGACATGACTTTCTGCATATTTAATGACAACAGTTGATGGCTTACTAAAACAGCTCTACCTCTTGATTGGTAGAAGCTATTCCTGTTCTGATTTGAAAAGCAGAAAAGTAGAGGAAGATTTCATTCGCTCAAACTTTTTGTCTAAGTTTTTGGTAAAGTGGTCAAAGTAGCTGATTTGTGTCAAAAGTTACATTGTTTACAGTTAATAGAATATAATGTTGGGAGTCATGATGTCACAATGGCCCTTTAGAATGCTGAGGAAATCCCATGAAAGTGGATGGAGGCCAAAAAGAAAGACAAAAAGCTTAATAGTTCAAAAAGTGTAAAATACATCAAAGTTGTATACAAGCATACTATTCCAGACCGATCTGCACATTTTAAAGTTTGAAGGACATTTCTAGCTTAAACGGTGTAGGAGGAGTAGTGTTCCAAAGAAAGATAATACAAAGTATGATGAAGATTTAGAATGGGACGTTTGCTTCGCAAGTCCCATTAATGACAAGCAACCTTCTCCCCCCCATTCCTTATCCCTTTGTCAAATAAAGTGCTGACACATTACATTATATCCTAAATGTACCATACTCATATTAGTATACTATCAGTTGGAGGGAAGAGCACTACAACACACCTCATGTGTAAGCACTATTGCTCTCTCTCCTCTGTCCCCCAGCACCTACTCACAGGTGACCTGGTTGTAGCCCAGTCTCCCTCCTGGATTAGGTGGATTAGTGTAAAGCGGTGGCAGGTCGTGACATCACAGGTTCTTTACTGTAGCTCAGCTTTTAAGGGGCAGCACAAGTAGAGGGTTATTTGAGCCGGTTTCATTTATTTATCAAAGATGAGGAAAATAGCTCAGGGAAATTCCTGCGGCTTTCATACAATCACATCAGGTGGTGTGTGACCGGATTGGCCTGCAGCCCAAGCTGGCCCCAAGTCTCCTCTCTGATTGACAGTGTGACAGCCA